GTGACACAAAATTGTTTTGGTCTTTGGGGTATGTCACCAATTTTTTCTGTACAAGAATGCTAGCACTAATTTTAGGGATAAAACTTTGGGGTTGAAAATAAAGATTTGCATCCTTTCCTAAGTGCAAAACTCAAACTTTACTCAAATATGATGTAATGGAATAACCTGGCACCCTCACGAATGACTACACTATAGGTAGCAACTACCTATAAGTATCCGGACTACGCGAGACTTGCTGGAATCAGTTGATTATGACTGACTGGAGAACTATTCAACCTTCTAATAGCAGCACTCACTACTGGTTATCACAATAACCCTTATTTATCCACCATGTTATACCAGTGATATTACTATTAGCACAGAATATAACAGTGGCAATAAGGATTGTTGAATCAAATTCATATACAATAATACCAAATTGCAGTGATGCCAAAATGAATTTGAGAAAAATATTTGTACGCTATAGGTTTGGTTTACAGGAGTCTCGAAGACAATACCTTATATATTATAACATTTTACAATCGGAGGAAGACATTCTGAAAAAAGATTTATCATGTAAAATCTTTTAAAAGTAAGAATATTTTTGTTGTATTCTTTGTCTATTATTTGAAAATTACATGAGTAATTTGAATTTATTGGAAGGCAAAAAGCAAAGGTTGAGTATTTTTTTTTCTTGTCTGTCATTTGTTTTTCTGAAAGACTTGTCGTTTAAAATATGGAACAATTAACAGAGCTTATGAAACTGTTGTGCACTAGTGTTCAGCAACAATAACAGCAAATACAATAGTTGCAAAACCAACAACAACAGCTTCAACTCTTTGAAAAATTAATGACAAAAAACCGGAGAACAAAAAACTAGTTTCTTCCCTGCCGTTAACAGAATTTCATTATGACCCAGAAAATGGAATTACCTTCCCGGCATATTTCAGGAGATATGAATCTATATTTACAAATAGATGCGAAGACTGGTCAGATGAGGAAAAAGTCACCCTTCTATTACAAAAAATGGGGACAGATGAAAATACAAAATACTCTGACCTAATATTACCAAAGAAACTGGAAGAAGTCTTGTTTGAAGAAACAATTAAAACCCTATCAAGGATATTCAATGATAGAGATAGCTTGTTCCACACATGTTACAAATGCCTTAATATCAAATTAGAAAATGAGAATTTTTTTATTGTATGCTGGGTTGACTAACTCATTATGTGAACTTTTTAAAATTAACGAGATTTCGAAAGATTTATTCAAATGTCTAATACTTGTTCAGGGATTAACAGCTCCTAAGGACAAGGATATCAAGAGGCAGATTCTTACTATAACTGAGAGATGATGAGATTACTTTGCAAAAAGTTACTGAAGTGTGTCAGTGTTTAATTAACGTAAAATGGGATAATACGGTGATAGAGGAAAAATGTTTTCAAAGTTCAGCGAGTAAAAGCAAAAGAAAGTTCCAAAATGTGAAGAACAAAGAAATGTGAATGTTGCAGAGGATTTAATCACACAAAAAATAATTGCTGGTATAAAAACAAGGCATGTTTTGAAATGTGGCTGTAAGGGACATAAAGGGTCCTAATGCTATAAAATAAAGACAAAGACCAGTAAAAAAAGTGAATGTGATTCTCTCCAGAAAGGAATTGGGGAATGGCGAGAAATGAAAGTATGTCGATGCACATATAAATGGACATACAGTAACATTTCTTTTGGATTCAGATTCTGATATTAGTATAATTGACGAACAGACATGGAGAAAAATAGGACGAACAAAATTGCCAGTGGTATTTCAGGAGAAACACTCAAATTTAAGGGTGAACATAAGTGTAAAGTTTCATTTTGTGAATAAGACTTTCAGGTCAAAAGTCTACATACATAAAGGAAACAACTCCTGCTTTTTCAGCATAGATTGGATTGTGCTATTTAATTTATGGGAATTGCTCATAAACTCTTTTTGTAATCAGGTGAACACGTGGAAAAAGAAAAAGTTAAAACAGACAGAAATATTCATGCATGATTTGGAGGACAAATTTCCCAGAGTTTTCTCTGAAGGATTGGGTATGTGTTTGAAAACGGAAGTAAAATTTGAAATGAAAAAGAATGTTACACCAATTTTCAGACCTAAAAGGAACGTTCCATTTCCTTCATTAGATTCTATTAACAAAGAACTAGAAAGATTGGAAAAATTAGGTGTTATTTCAAGAGTGGATCACTCAGATTGGGCATCGCTTACTGTGTATGTTAAAAAGAAAAATAACAGAATTAGAGTATGTACAGACTTTTCAACAGGTGTATAAATGACTGTCTAAAAGACCACAGTTACCCGCTTCCCTCACCTGAGGATATTTTCTCAAAATTAAATGGGGGTAAAATATGCTTTAAAATAGACTTGTCAGACGCATACTTGCCAGTCAAAGTCAATGAAGAGTGTTCCAAGTATCTGATAACACACATAAAGGATTATTTAAATTAAACCAACTGTCTTTTGGTTTAAAAGTTGCAGTCACTTTTTCAACAAATCATGGATACAATGCTTGCAAGGCTAGAATTAGCCATTGCTTATCTGGATGACATCTTGGTGAAAAGTAAAAATATGGATGAGCATAAAAAACACATAAGGACTATCTTCAAGAGAATAGAAGAATACGGATTCAAAGTGAACCCTGAAAAATGTGAGTTTTTTATGGAAAAAAATTAAATATCTTGGGCAGATTTTGGATAAAGATGGCAGAAAACCAGATCCACAGAGAACTGAAGCCATAAGAAATATGCCTGCCCCAGATATTGTGGCAAAATTGCAATCATTTTTAGGTTTGGCACAATACTACACAATATACATTCCAAAGATATATGAATTAACAGCACTGTTAAATGAATTGTTGAAAATGGGGGTTAAATGGTGTTGGTCCGAAGATTGTGAAAAAGTTTTTCAAAAAATTAGAAACTGTTTACTGACTGATTTAGTATTAGCGCACTATGATCCAGAAAAAGAAATAGTTGCTGCTTCTGACACGAGTGAATATGAAATCAGAGCAGTGCTACTTCATAAATACGAAGATGGTTCAACAAAACCAATTAATTGCACACGCTTCAAGGACTCTTTTGCCAACAAAAAAAGCATTACAGTCAGATCGAAAAGGAAAGCTTAGCAATCATTTTTGCAGTTAAAAATTCCATCGTTTCCTTCACGATAGAGTGTTTACACTACAAACTGACCATAAGCCGTTACTCACCATTTTTGGATCAAAGAAGGGCATTCCAACTCATACTGCAAACCAATTACAACAGTGGGGTGTAACATTATTGAATTACCATATTAAAATGGAGTACATCTCATCTAAAAATTTGGGTCATGCATATGGACTATCAAGGTTGATTACAAAACAATGAAATTTTGGAAGAAACTGTATTTGTAGCTTTAAAGAACAGACAAGAAATATCACTTTTGCTGTGTAATACTGTTTGGCAACTACCGGTGAAGTTGGAAGACATAAGGAAAGCAGCAGCAGAAAATGATAATTTCATTAAAGACATGAAAATACAAGCCTGTATAAATGAAAAAATATGCTAATGTATGCAGACAGGGTGGTGATGCCACAGGCATTACATAAAAAGATCTTAAAAGAATTTCATATGGTTCACCCTGCCATATCGCGTACGGAATCTCTTATGAAAAGTTATGTTTTTTGGCCACGAATGGATATGGACGTTGAAAATGTTGTGAAAAACTGCAGAGGGTGTCAGTTAGCTGCAAGAGCCCCGCCAGTTAAAACACAATCATGGCCAAAAACAGATATCCCCTGGACACGTCTATTATCTGATCATTGTGGATAGTTTCTTGAAGTGGCCAGAAGTTTTTAAATACAAACACCCAACTTCTAGAAATACTATCAGTGCTTTAGATGAAGTTTGCAGCCGCTTCGAAGTTCCTCAGACATTGGTCAGTGATAACGGAACTGCATTAACAGGTAAAGAATTCAAAGAATTCTGTGCTTCATTGGACATTGAACATGCTAAATCCGAATGGACAAGTGGAAAAATTTGTGGACATGTTCAAACGAGCATTAAAGAAAAATCAAGGGGTAAACACAGAGGAGAAAACTATACAGAAATTCTTAAAAGTATACAGGGTAACACGAAACACAAACAATACAGCAAAATCGCCACCTGTGGAATTGATGTTTGCAACAAAAATATGGTCAATTTTCAGCAGATTGTTGTCTTGTACAAAAAAGAAAATGCATAATAACAATAATTTCTATACAAAGAAATATATGCCTGGGGATAAAGTTTTCTTTAGGAACTACCAAGGTGGAAAATGTTTTTGGGAGGATGGTGTTATTGCAAACAGAACTGGAAGAGTTATCTATATGGTAAAAGGGAAAAGATGGGTATGCAAAACCAATCAAGACCTAGATACTCGGAAACTGTTCAACAGGATGATGGAGAAATTCCTATGGATGTCCTGTACGACATGTTTAAAATAGCACCACCCACTAACATACCAGAACACATAGGTACATCTCCTACACCAGCTTTGCCTGTAGAATTGAGATATCATTCTCCTTGGAAAAGGAAAAGAAAAAGAAAACCCACCGTGTGGTTAAGCCCAGACCTGAAAAAGAGGAGATATTAAAGAAAAAGCTAGAGGAAAATTTCAGCTTGGGGGGAGGTGATGTAATGGAATAACCTGGCACCCCCATGAGTGACTACACTATAGGTAGCAACTACCTATAAGTATCCGGACTATGTGAGACTTGCTGGAATCAGTTGATTATGACTCCGACTTACTTGAGAACTATTTGACTTTCCAATAGCAGCACTCACTACTGATTATCACAATAACTCTTTACTTATTTATCCACCGTGTTGTTCCAGTGATATTTCTATTAGCACAGAATATAACAAATACAAAATATAAGTCACTGCAAAGAAAAAGAAAGGAAATAAAAAATATAAAAGAATGAGTTAAGAAGAGAGATAAAAGAGGAAGCTAAGGTACTCACAGATTTTGAGCCAGTAGTGCATTGGCAGATTCCAGTTTGAGACTGTCTCCACAAGAGACCTAGGTAATTCAATGAAGGAAGGACGAGTTACAGAGAGGTCCCTGGGTAGAAGCAAGAAAAAGCGACTAAATACATGTTCATTTGGTAGCAATTGAAAAAATAGATTTAGGACAAAATCTATATAAAGCTCCCCTTCCAATAATTGAAGTGATATAAAAGTTGAAAATGTAGTCATAAAAATTAGTGAAAAAGGATTATTGGATATTCAGAGAGTATTTTTGTTGAACAATGATTTCAACTGACCCATTGAACTTAAACTTGATGTATAGTTGCTTTTAATACAAAAGACTACAATGTAATCAGGACCACCAAATCCATTTTTTTTTTTTTTTGATAAACTTCCATCAATATCATAGGATGTTTAAAGCTTTTCCATGAATTAATATATTTTAAGCTTGTTCTTTTTTTTTTTTACAGAAATCAGCTGAGTAACTTTATTATGAATTTATTACTTTTATTTCAAATAATTCAAGAAAAAGAAAACTGATTTTTAATTTTAATTACAAAAAATTAAATATTGGAAAATAAAAGCACAGCAATACAAAATAAAATATGGCAGAGAATTTATTCATTTAAATCTGAAAAAATTCATATGAAAGTAAGTTTCAAAATAATGAAAAAAGAAAAAAGTTGGAAGCAATTGTGAGTGAAAACTGTAGGTAACTTCAAAGATAATTGAACATGTTCTTTTTAAGGCACAATAGGTTAAACATCAATCTTTCTCTAAACTTAAAGCAATTTCATTTGAGGTTCCAAGATTACATTGCATCTATTAAACTTCACTGAATGAAAGTCTGAAGTAAAAAAACAACAAACAAGAATAAAAACTTATGTTCAAGATTAAGTAAAAGAATTCTTTTTAAAAGTTAGTTCACATCTTTTTCAAATCTAAGAAATTTATATTTCTGAGTTTTATTTTGTATAACTCTATAGAGATTTTTTTTTTAAAAATTCGTCATAAAACAAGGTTTAAATTAAAAGTAAAAATAACATTTAAACTATTTTTGTGCATGTACTTATTAACACTATAATGCCAAATTTGGACCATTTTCAAGAAGTTGCTACTAGTTACTTTTGAAGTTTTCTTTGAGCAGCCATGTTACTCAGAAATAAACAGTGAGGTTATTAAAAGAGTTGAAATTAATGCATGCAAGATTTCACAGCTCTAGCATCACTCTTTCATAATCAGCCTATGAACTTTTCAGTCCACCCTCATATTTTAAAACAAGTCTCAAAAACACTCCATTGAGTACCTAAAATTGGAAATTAAATAGTTGCATATTAATTAACATAATGCTGAAAATGAATTATAATACTTTAAATTGTAAGAAAAAAAAAATTGATAATGTGGTATAATTAATTCTCCATGTAAAAACCTGTTGAAAATTTATCATTTCTATTTAATTATTGCAAAACTGATTTCTAACAGAATTTTGCATGGATGAAATGTCAAAGATGATCTGCAAAGTGTAAATAAAAACAAAACAAAAATAACAGTAAAAATCATTTGCCTATAAGTTTTTTTTTTAAATTGAGTTCAACCCAAACAAGGCAGTAAAGCCACTGAGACCCAAGGGGTTATTTGGTGTAAAAGAATTTGCAAACAGAAACATTACTAGAGAGCAAGAACAAAAGATAAATAATCAGGAGGACAGTAGAAAGCAATTGACATTGCATTAAAATTTTTGAAGATTAAAGTTGACAGAAAAGCATGTTGCCAAAAAAAATTTCCATAAACGAAAAGTGCGAGAAAAGAAATTGTTAGCACAGTATTTATGGTTAGATCTAACCAACTCAACCATAAATTTGTAAGATCTCATCTCCTGTTAAGTACTGCACTTAAATTCATAAAGTCTAGGTACCATAGCAAAGAGTGCATCCAAACAGTTGCCATAAAAATATTTATAGAAAAGGCACAGGGAGGCAATTTTATGGCAGTGGGAAAGTGACTGAAGCTGAGATGCCACATCAGGACTAATAATATTGCCAATTCTTTGGGTTTTATCAAAGAGTTCTAGATATATAGCAGGAGCATCAAACAATATGTGGTGACAATATTCAAAGCATTGATGAATGGTAAACTTATAGATATGTAAAATAGATTCTGGAGAGAAAAATTGTCTAGCACAACACAGTGAACCAACTTTCTTAGCAGCTGACCTAGCAATGAATTCAATATAGTCTTTCCACTTCATGTTAGCTGAGAATGTTAGCCCGAGGTGGCACAATGAGTCACTCAGCAGGAGGTTAGCATCTGCCATGCTGATGGAAGGCAGAAAGGAGTCTCTCGGATGATTAATAAAGAGCAGTTTAGTTTTGGAGGTGTTAAAATTAACAAGCCATCCTGGCCTGTGATGTGAGAGACTTAACCAATTCAGCAATCATTTAAGGCCTCTAGTAGTTTCCCAAAAAAAGGTAGAAGTCTAATAGCCCAATACTTGGAAGGGTTGGATAGTTCAGATTTCTTAAAAACTGCAACAACAGGTAAAGATTTCCTTCATGCAAGAAAGCAAGATGTAGCAAGGCAATTATTATACAGTTTAGAGAGAATGGCAGCTAGTCCAGGAGCACACTTAAGGACTATTACAGAGATACCATCAGGTCCACATATAAACAATCTGAGGCTAGGTGCAGATACACATCCATGTGTTCAGGCATACATACATACGCAGTTGTACTTCTATTTCAGTGTCAAGACCTTAGCTTTTATTATATGTAGCGATGTTCCTTACAACAAGAAGTGGGTAGGGGTGTTCTTGATACTTTTCTGTGCTGTCAGACAAACTTACACTTACTCATACATACATGTAGATGTGCACATACACTCCTAATGGTCAGGGTCTTTCACCACCACTTTGGTTAAGCCGGGTTCTGTTTGTGGGCATGGTGATGATGGTGTTTCTACTTTCAACTCTGTGTGTGTGTGTGTGTGTGTCTATATATATATATATATATATATATATATATATATATGAACGAAACATGGATGTGTATCTGCATTTAGCCTCAGATTGTTTATATTGAACTAAAATGCATACACCTATATGTATGTGTGTATGAGAGTATCATCCCAAACAAAAACAGAAGTGAATTACCCCTCCCACCACCAAACAGTCAAACAATCATAAACAGATCCAATTTTAAAAAATAAACCAGTTTGTCTGATGATCGCAAAATTACCCCCTTATCCATCTCAATGTATATTTCCACTCAAAATGTCAACAAGCGTTCCTCTTTTAAACTCTAAACTTGCTTCAATTTTTTTAAATTTTATTTTTTTTGTTTATTTCAAATGGCCCCTACCTACCTACACACTATTTTCTGTATTTAGACCCCAATATTTGTCCTATTTAAAACTTAATCTGTGAATCTGCATGTAATTTAGCGTCCTCCATATGAGACCCACTATATTTTTTTTTTTGAAAAAGTTATATCTTGTGCCTGATGAGTTGGTAAAACAACGAAACTTAAGTTGCAACATAAGCATAGGTGTATGTATATATATATTTCTTAGCTCTGTCTAACCACATCAAGCAATGTTATGTTTAAACCTTAAAGTAAATTTAGTAAATATTTATTTGCTTACCTGTGTATGCACATTAGTGCATATACAGTTGCTAATATTTAGTTATTCGATTTACCCACCTATATATATATATATATATATATATATATATATATATATATATATATACACACACACACTCTCTCTCTTTAACAATAAACTCCAAACCCAGACTGCTTCCCCCAGGATAAGATACCTTATGCCCACACCAATTGCTAACACAAACCCACTCTCATTAACAAGATGCCTACTACAGGAGGACTGACTTTTAAAATAAATTTAGAACAATGCTCCAAGACAAGCACTTAGAGGCTGCCCAAAGCCATTGAAGAATGGTTTGAAATAGACCATCCCTATGTCGAGGTAATTTTTGGTAAAAAAAAAAAAAAAAAAAAAAAATATATAACATAATATACACATTATATATATATATATATATATATATATATATGTGTGTGTGTGTGTATGTTGGAAAATAAGTATGATATATATTTTAAAAAAAATCCACATTTGTGGTTTCTCTCTTTTTAAAATATACACTTTTCTCTCCTTGGAAAAACTATAACCTCTTAGCTATATATGGCTATATATATATATATATATATATATATATTCTATATACTCAGGTGGTGTGAAAAAAAAAAGATAATACAATTTGCAAATATCTTTGAACAAACCGATAAAAATTTTGGTTCATATTTTGTTTTGAGAAATCAGTAAAAAAAAAAAAAAGAAGAAAAAATAAAAAATAAAAGACTAAAAATATCCGTGTTGGTCGAAAATAATCAGTACAACAATATCTAGTCAAAAGCAAAATCACTGACAGAGTAAATTAAGTGAAAAAGAAAAGTGCTCAATATACTATAAAGAGCAAAAACCTAATGAGCCAACACCTACCTACCAACGTTTCCCCTAACGGATCTTCAGGGAAAAACCTGGCTATAGAGGATAGGTTGAGTATTTTTTTTTTTTTGGTGGACGTCCTTTTCAATAAAACATCTTTGGCCTACCCTTTTGCATTACTTGTCTTGTTCGGCTTTATGCTAATTTTATCATTTTACAGTGGCATTTTTTTTTTTTCTACCAATAAAATGTAGCTTGGACTTACCCTCTTTATCCAGTTTTTACCCTGAATATCCATTAGGTGAAACCTTGTTAGGTAGGTGCTGGATCACTAGGGTGTTTGTCGAAAAAATATATATATATATATATATATATATATATATATATATATATATATATATATATATAATCCCATCAACCTAAGTCAATAATTATTCATATCCCTAACACAGTAAACACTAGAGTCAATAGGTTATCATCTAACAAAAAAATGTGTATATATTTTAAGTTACTTAAAATTGTTCTTTATTTTCTCTAAATTTATTTAAATATTTTATTGTATAATTTTTTATGTATATTTTTTATATATTTTAATTTATTTTATTCAACTATTTTATTTATGAAAAATATTATTATTATTATCAATTTGAAATTGTGATGATTATAATGCGATGATGATTGTTTCGTTGTCAAAAATGACATGAATATCAGAGAAATAAATATATCATTTTTAAATCTGATCACTCCCTTCCTTACCCTTTGTTCAGTCCTAAAAGAAAAAATCATTTCTAGGTCACCCTATCAGCTCATGTTTAATTCTTCATTCTTTCCTGTATTTTCTTTTCCTCTCTATCTCACACCTTCTCTCTTTTCTTTTTTTTTAAACCTTATATTGAAATTTTTCTTTTTCTTTCTTCCTCTTAATATTAAAATTTTTCCATTTCTTTCCTCCCCCCTCTCGCTTTTCTTTTCATCTGGATAAATTGACTCCATTTATTATTAAAAAAAACTTCAGTCTGAAGAGATGAATATTTGTATATTCATGAAATAAATTATAACTGAATGGATTTTTGAGGATCCCCTGTATTCATTACATGTGTGTGTGTGTATATATATATATATATATATATATATATATATATATATATATATATATAGTTGTTTCTATGAATTTATTAGCATGAACAAGGCAATTCATATCCTTTACACTTGGGTAAATAATGAATTTGTCATATATAATTTATGCCGCTTGAAAAGTTCAAGATCTCATGCAAGGTAGGTTTGACCTTAAAAGAATGTTATCTATTATTTTTCACATTCTTTTCAACATTACTGAAGTGCCAAACTAAATAAGGTTTCTTTCTGGTTGTTTTTTCAGTTGTAAACAAGGCTAAATGAAAAGAGTAAGTCAACATGTAACAAGTCCAAAGCTACAGGTTGGCAATAGATCATATTGCATTACCTGAATGAAACAAAAATATTTCATTAGCTTCTGGGGATTACAGTTTTAACAGAGTAGTTTTTATATTCACCAGTTATGAATTTAGCTTTTTAGAAAGTTGTCAATCCACAATATCTCAGAAATATAATGCCATTATTGATGGATGGATAGATTTCGGGGATTCTTATTTGCTTATATCAGATTCATCTTTTTAGGCACTGCAAAATTGCAAGTTGTTTACCAATCTTTCTCAAATTTTGTATCCAATTTATTAACACTACACATACACTGATCTCAGATACAATTTCAGTGAAGTTGATATAGAATAATTTGAGAACCAAGTGACTGATTTATGTGGACCAACAGACAAGATTAATTTTTATAACAATACCCATGATAATGCCTACAGGGCTTGTACTTTTAATTCCTAAAAGGAACACACCCTATCAAAAAAAAAAAAAAAAAAAAAAAATCAAAGAATAAAAAGATATGTAGAAAATAAGCTCTTATACAACTATCCTTAAACAGGTGGAAAGAAAGGATTAAATATCCATAAAGATTACTTATGGTAATATGGTAAGTGAAGCAGTGAATATTCAATAAAATAAATGTGATCATTTAACAATGAAAAACATCAACAGTGATAATTGTAGGCCAAGCACATTCAGTTCTTCAAACAAATCTAAGAAATAAATAATTATAAGTACATCTGAAAGTGCAAAGTAGCATAAAATATGAAGGAAAAGATGGAGATTACCCAAAATAACAAAAAAAAATCATTTGCTAATTTGGGATGGTTCATTAAAATTTAAAAGGAAAACAAACTTTTATTAGGATTAAATTCAGTTTTCTAATTAGCTATTAAAATAAAATTGTTAAAGAAAGCTCATCCTTAATTATTAAATGCTATGACCATAAATAGTACATGGAAATTAAAAGGACAAACAAAATAACATTTTTAACAGATAATTCAAGGTATTAGAAATCAAAATAAGAATGTTAGATAAAACATATTCAGAGATAATATTGAAGATTTAATAACAACAATGAAAATTGAATTTAGTACATTTTCCTGCTTTACAAAATTAAGCAAACACTTAGTCTTACCATTTAGGAAGAGTTGTAAGAAAATTTTAAAAGGTTTCCTTCTCTTGATTACATTTGGATATGAAATATTAATAAAAACAAAGCATGATGAAAAGAAGTCTTAATTTTATATTGCGTAAAAGGTAAGAAGTCTGATTTCTATTAAAATACAAAGCTATTAATTGAAATATAAAGTTGTACAATGGAAAAAGAAAAAACTTTTTTCAAGCAACATAAAGAAGCAAAATATCTTTAAAAACTGATAAATATTTAAGGTAAAAAAAAAAAAAACAAGTTTCTGGTAGTTTTATAAATTATTTTTGTCAGATTGACAATTTAAGTAAATGCTGAAAATGTATAAAGATGATCTAATGTATATAGATTTGAATATCAACTGCGAACAAAAATATCATTTTTCAAATTTTTCAACAAAATTAAATAATTTTTTAGCAAATGTTCAAAAAGTTATTGACATGAAAAATGTTTGATACAAGGAATCTAACCTTTCAGTCTCCAATAGTCTCCTTGACAAAGAACCTTAAATATTTTTCAATAACAAAGTTTGAGATAGCCATGATAAAATGCAAAATTTTATGAAGATATAATATGTATGAAGCAGTTTATGATAATATGGATTCATAAAAAAGGATGAATTCATATGAGTGGCAGATTAAAATCTGCCACTCATATGAATTCTTTAGGTTTAATGACTTGAAGTCATTAAACCTAAAGAAAAAATATTTAAATCTTTAAAATCTTTTAGGTTTTAAATACTAAACATACTTAAATATGTGAAAAATTCTAATAAAAAGATATTTGCTATTTTTCAAAGCAGGCACCTGTATGTGATACAAAATATTTCAACTCATTCTAGTTCAATTGACCAGAACTTTCTGACATACTTTACAGCCAGCCAGCTAGGCACACACACACACACACACACACACACACACACACAGAGCGTATTTTAATGCAAAAGATACAAATATAATAAAAGAATGAATTTACAACATTTTTCTCCAGGGGAAAAAAAATTTTTAAAAAAAGGAAGAAATATGCTAATCCAAAATTCTTTTCAGTGGAATACACTGCAAGAGAAACAGTGCCTGCCACAAGTAACTTTTCTTAAAGTGACAGAGACTATCACAATTCATTATATTGCCTTTTAAAAATACAGAATACAAATTTACCTAAAACTTTGTTGTTCACCACAAGAGTACACTGTATCTGTTTGACATATAATTACAGAGAGGGGGGGCGGCATGTGTACACACACACGGATACATACACATAGATAGAGGCATAAAAAAACACATACACAAAGAGAAACACACACATTAAGAGAGATGCTTTTGCATAAAGGGAGATCAAGCAAGAGATGCATTCTTAGATAGAGACACAAAGAGAGTGACATGCACACACACACACACACAGAGGAGAGAGAGATGCACACACACACACACACAGGAGAAAGAGACGTGCACACACACACACACAGGAGAGAGAGAGACACGCACACAGAGGAGAGAGAGAGAGAGAAACACACGCACACAGAGGGGAGAGAGAGAAAAACACACGCACACAGAGGGTAGAGAGAAAACAGAGAACACAGAGGGAGAGAGAGAGAGAGAGGAGAGACACACAGAGGGAGAGAGAGAAACACACACACACACAGAGGGAGAGAGAGAGAAACACGCACACACACACAGAGGGGAGAGAGAGAGAAAAACACGCACACACAGAGGGGAGAGAGAGAGAAAAAACATGCGCACACAGAGGGGAGAGAGAGAGAGAGAGAAACACACGCACACAGAGGAAGGAGAGAGAGGTGCACACAGAGGAAGGAGAGAGAGAGTGACACACAGAGGAAGGAGAGAGAGGTGCACACAGAGGAAGGAGAGAGAGAGTAACACACACAGAGAGGAGAGAGAGACACACACACATATACATGTATTCAGAGAGGAGAGAGAGAGAATCATGCATTCATAGAGAGAACAGAGATTTTTACCTTATTGATTTGTACATATTTATGAATGTCAATAAAATTGCAAAATATGAACTAATTGTGATCTGTTGCATTTTCACTATTTTGACTTCTCTAAAATAATCAAGCAGAATTCTTATTTTAATGTCCTTGGTTTAGTTCCTTTTTTCAGTTAAAAATCTTGTAGGCCATCTGAAAAAAATTTTTTTATGGGCATCTAAATTATTTGGACCAAAGCTAAAATGAAGCCCCAAACAGTTGATTTGCATAGAAAATTAAGACAAAAAATAAAGTTATGTTAGCTGAAAATTATATGGATACCCACTTTCAGCTTCATAAAATATTTAATTTTTTTTTTAATTTTAAGTAATTGGTTGATATTTTTAAATAGTTCAAACCACAAGCAAGCATTGCATGCAGTCCACTTATTAAGAGCAATCATTTGTGTTCATTAGATGATTGTGCAAATTTACCAATAATCACTTCTGCATCCAATTCATTTAACAATTCCTTTTCAATGAATAGAAACAGCTAAGATTACAAATTCTCCTCAGACAGCAAATTTCTTAACCTTGCTTTATGATCTTTAGCTTTGAAAATGTCTTTTCACACTGGACTTGAGCAACTGATAGAGTGCAGATGATCAAATTCTTATTCTTTTTTATTACTAAAACAGTTGTCTGTGTTTGCTGTCTGAGGTGAATTTGGAATCATACCTGTTGCTATCTACTGAAAAGGAATTTTTAGATGAATTGGATACATAAGTGATTATTGGCAGATTTCTACAATCATCTAATGAACACAAATGATTGCTTTTAATATAGTGGAGTGCATGCAAATCTGATATAGGGGCCCATTCCATTAGGGTTCTACTTGCTATCGGGAAAGCTGATACCTTGGCAAGTCCCCCACTGCTTACACATAAGCCTTCCAAATTTCAGAAAATCAAAGACATTCTTCATAATTTATGTATAACTTACATTTACAAATGTAAAGAAATTTTGAAAACTTTTTATTCATTAAATATTATGGTCTTTACCATTAACCATAGATCACTCAGATACTTAGTCTGAATAGGTCACAGGTAAAAACTTATAATATTAGATTTTTATAAACTTATAATTAATAGTAGATTTTTAATTTTTTTTTATAATACTAAATTTTACAGTGGGCATTAATGGGAAAATCTCACTGACTTCATGAATATTCAGTTTATATAAGAGATCAGTTCATTGGTGACCCAACAGCCCAAATTTCTAGATAAATCTAATGATGATAATTTACCCCCAAAAATGAAAAGATCTGCATCAAGTTAAAAGTAATTATATTGAAAATGCAGGACTGCAATCACCAATAGAAAACAAAATTTCTTTTCTATTCTTTCAAATGCATGCAACCATGGTATAAATGTAATTTTTCTCTTGATATATGTGTAATAATAAAAAGCTCAAAAATATTTAAACATATGAGAAACAATGTTTTCATTTGGAAATTTTAAATTATAAACTTGAGACTATTTACATTATTCGGACTATTGTCTTCATCTTTGTCACCATATTTATTACGTTTTGGCTGCCGTATGCTCCAGCCTTGTTCAGCTGGTTGGAATGTTGAACTGAACCCTTTATTTCGCTCACTGGGGTAGACTGTTCTAGTTCCATGTGCCATGTTTTAATGGATAAAGGGTTCAGTTCGACATTCCAACCACCAGAAGAAGGCCGGAGCATACAACAGCTGAAATGTTGTAATAAATATGGCGGCAAAGATGAGGACAATAGTCTGAATAATGTAAACAGTGTACATAATACCTCATCTCAGAAATATAGCCAGATATAAACTTGAGGTTGAAAATTTTGCTATATTAAATTAAAATAACTGATACAAGTTGCCAATTTAAAGCAGGGGAGAACATGGTTTTGTATGATGCTTAACATAATCCAAAACATCAACAGCCTCCATTTCATTTGTCATATCAGCCATGTTTAACCATGATTAAAGTTATCCTGATGAAATAAAAATAGCAAATGTTAATGATTATCCTGAAAATGTTGTTAATCCAATTAGGGAGATTGTAATACTGGAGACAAAACCCGTAGAATTTTATAATTTTTAATTATATATATATATATATATATATATATATATATATATTTATATATATATGTCTCAAGAGTGTTGATCCTTGTGTTCTACATAAGTAATTAACTGAATTTTGACTTTTATCATTAAGCTGCAGACTTAATTTATTTACCAATGTACATTTACCTCTTACCATTTCACCCTCCAGGGAAAAGAAAAAATCCAAAAACCATTGGTGTAAGATCCTATTGACAAATAACAGACAAAATAATGACTAAATCTGAATGACATGGCATCTCTGTAGGCCAAGAACCACCTATAAAAGAAAAACAAGAAAGTCAGAAAATGAGAAAATAAATTTAAAAGAAATTAATGATTCTTCTTTTTAAGTGATTTATATAAATGATTAATTTTCTACAATAAAAAAATGGTAAAAATGGAAAAAGAACAAAATACCTCAAGTACAGATAATATAAATGAACAGGGTGAATATTTTTTGCAAGAAATGTGTTGCCTGCTTTAAATAATACATGCTACCCAAGATGTGATTCTAAGTACAATTTAATCAGATATTGAATGTTCCATTTGAAATCAGTTTCTTTTTGTCTCCATTTCACACAAATAACAGTCATACTGTAATTGCTTTTATGCTATAAATGCAAAAGGATTTCACTGCTCTTTAGTACAAGTTTTACAGTTTATATTGCTCCTAAAACACAGGTGAATATGTGTGTTCAGAGTTGGTTGAGAATGCATGAAAGATTGAAGAACATTGTAGTTGTAAGGCGGCGATATACAATGGGATAATATGAGACAGAAGTAATTGAAGGCAGTCATGATTCAACAGTCTGCAGTAGTCCAGTGAGGGAAATAATTTTTAGTTCAGGTTAAGCAAAGGTTAATGTGTTAAAAATTGATTGTAATCTAATTCTGTATTTAAGTTTAAATGACAAAGGACAATAATCATAATCCACTGAAAATATATGTTAGAAATATAACATTGAAACATACAGTATGAGGTATGATTTACTACAATGTGTAAAGACAATTCACTTTAGAAAAGATATGAGAAAGCTAAGTACTTTCCCCTTTACTGGTGTGTTTTAGTTTTTTCTGTTTGACAAAACATAGAAATTAAGAAATATAATAAGTAGTAAATATAAGAAAATGTAATATTCAAATCATCAAGCAATTCATTATTAATTAAAAAGAACTGTATAAAAAGCATTTATGAATTTCTTCCTTTTAATGCCATGCCCCTTCAAAGAATCATTTTCTTTATCATTTGTGAATTACCTCGCCTTAGGAAAAACAGTGGAGTGGTTTCCTGGTGCCTTTGCTGTGGTTTTTGAATTCAAAGTTTTCCGTTTTATACTAGTTGCCATCCAAGGCTAGAGAGCAGAGTTTACATTGCTATTTAACCTATAGCAGGGGGGTGGAGAAGAGAGTAGTTCGTGCCATTCCTAGGGCATGAAAGTGAAGGCAATAGCATAGGCTAGATCTTGAGCTTAGCATGTTGATTCCACTTTTGGCACAATGGCTGTTGCATGACTTTAATGAAATTAAAAAAGTAAGCAATGAATTTGGGTGAAAACATGTCTCTTTGTAATCAGTAAATGTAAGAGTCAATGTTTAACTTACATTTTTAGACAGAAAAAAATTATTCAAAAAATATTATTTTGAATACAATAATAAACAATACAATTGTAAAAGTAATGATGGTATTCTTTGAAATATTAATTTTTGTGTGTCTAATATATACTATTAAATGTTTCAAACAGAGTACAATTTGTCATATTTAAAAAAAATGCAAGTCTTATTAAAAACATTAACATATGAGGGACAAGAAATTCAAGTGCAAATAAACATTGAAATCTCTTCAGTTCTATTCATTAATCAATTTCCACACAGTAGAAAAAATGTGGCAAAAAGTTTTGCAAAAAATATAAGAAATTGTTTCTTTTTATTTTCAGTCATGTAAAACAATTACATGACCTTAAACACTTAATAGAAACAGGTCTTTTCAAACTCACTAGTGTGTGAATTTCAAAATCTATAGTCAAATTGGGGCTAAGCTACAGACAAAAACCATGTGAAAAGTCTGACTATTACAGCATATATATATATAACTTTTATAAATATGTGAAGTACTTACTTCCAATGGTGATCCAGAATTATCCACATTAGAAAACAAGAAGAAATCACTAAACATAGCATGGCTGCAATACAGCTTTTCACTAGTTTCAGCATCCATGAAAAACTCTACAATATAAGGTAAAGCAAGAGAAGGGCAATACAAATACTTTCCTTAAAAAAAGAAAAAATTCTACTGCTTTAAAAAAAAAATGGTTGGAAAAAAAAAGTTGCTAATATTATCATTTTGTAGATTTATTTATTTTTAAAAAATTATTCTCATTTTTCTATTGCTGCTAATATTTTGACACGGTAATTATCCATCTTTCCTTGGCTGATGAATAGTCTTAAATTGTGATTTGTTTATGAGATGGTGTCAAAATATATCTGACCAAGACATTAAAAATTTCCAATGTTTGGCCAGGTTTTTGGAAGTGGGTCAAAACCAAGAACGTTTCAACATTCTCTTGTAATATCAACCAATGCTTTGGTTTATAGTTTTAGCATTAAAAATACACACAAGTATAAATAAATGCTCTATGAGAGAAAAAGCATTTCTCATGTTATCAACAATGGAAAACAGTATGCATTGCCATATTAAGAAACTTAAAAAGGTGACAATTATCTCTAAAATTGAATAATAAAATATACAAGTTATCCCAAAATTCATAAGCAGCTTTACAATGGTTAAAATTAAAATATAACTTGGAACAAGACGAAAACAAAACGTTAAAGATATGGGATAACATAACCTGAAAGAAGCAAGCAGACGACTTGAAGAAATGGACTTATTGTCCTGAGAAAAATATTACCAAAAAGGCCATCTGGAGAATTTAAACCCATAAGGGGTAGAGAAGAGCATTCAGAGTCGGCCAACAGAAATTGGCTAAACAAAGCAAAAGTAGAGAAATTAATTTGTTATATAGGGATAGAGTGTCACTGCCAACACAGGAGTTTGAACACAGAACACCAGAGAGCAAACACAAGCAATCCCATTTTGAACAAGTAGATCACATGATAGTAAAGGAAATGTATATATGGGAATTAGGGTGGCATCTAAGTGATCACTATATGGACTACTGTTTGGATCGCTATTTGGTGGTTACTTTTTGAGCGAGTATTATCAAGCAAGTACTATTAGTGCAAGTGTTATTTGAAGGCATCTGACATCAGTACTGTTCAACAGCGTTACTATAGTTGTATCTGTGATTACAAAGTCTCTACTACAACAAGCGTTACGAAAGTGACAACAAATATTTGTTGACATTACAAAATTGGCAATGAGGACTCCTTCAACTTACACGAGGAAAAAATATTCAGCAGAGTACAGCGGAATGGAAGAACTGAAAGCTATCATGGTTCAAATGTTGCAGCAACAAAAGCTACAACAAGAACAACATTTGCAGCAATAAAAACAACATGAACAGCAATTACAACTACAACAAAAGAAGTTTTTGGAGTTGTTTACCAAAACGATGGAAGAAAAGACTTCAGATTCATTTATTCCAGATGCTGTTGCTAATTCAATCAGCGAATTTGTGTACAATCTAAAGGGATAACTTTTCCAGCTTATTATAGAAGATATAAAGGGATCTTCAAAAGGAATTGTTCACATTGGAATGATGAAAAGAGAGTTTGTTTATCATTAAGGAAATTGTCCCCTGCTCAACATGAAAAATATGTGAATTATATTTTGCTAAAAAAACCAGGAGAGATAAATTTTAATGAGACTTTTCTAATACTATCAAAAATTTTTGGTGATAGGAGTTCATTATTTAATATAGGATGACAATGTCTTAACTTAGTAAAGTCCAACAATAAAGATTTTGTCACTTATGCAGGAGTCATGAATCGAGAATGTGAAAAGTTCAAGTTAAATGAATTAACTCCTGATTTATTTAAATGCCTGATATTTGTACGGGGTTTAACTTCTAATATGGATGTGGAGATAAGATCCAGGATACTTGCTAAATTAGAAATGGATCCCAAATTAACTCTCGAGAAAGTAGCGGAAGAGTGTCAATGTATTGTGAATTTGAAACTTAATACTGCAAGGATTAAGGAAAAAGACAATCCACAGTTATATAGTGTCCGACCATCTAAGAAAAAAAAAAAAAAAAAAAACTACAAACGTTTTTCAACTTTTAACAGAACAGGAAAAAAGACAATGCCCCCACCCAATACTTGTCATGGTTGTGGAGGTAAGCATTTTAAAAGTGATTGTTCAAGAACAAAAAAATGCTAAAAATGCTATGAATGTGGGAGATTAGGTCATAAAAGTATGTGTTGCAGATACAAATTTGGAGAAAAAATAAAATGTTTGTAAACATAATACATGGAGTAACAATAAGAATCCTAAAAAGGAAATCAACAAGTCATCTTAAAGAGGAAATTTGTTTTTGTGCAAATTAATGATGTAAAAATAAAATTGCAACTAGATACAGGATCTGATATCACTATAATAAATGAACAGACATGGAGAAAAATGGGTAAACCCAGTTTATTGACTTCTGATAAAGTTGTGCATGGAGTCTCAAGAAAGAGACTGAATTTTTGGGGTGAATTTAGCTGTAATGTTTCTTTTGTTGGAAAAAACCCAAAAAAGTGGTGGTGTTTGTATTAAAAATACTGCTAATTTGTTTGGAACAGACTGGATTGCATTGTTTGATCTTTGGGACCTTCCAATTAACTTTTTTTTGCAACAAGATAAATATTGTTACCTCCGGTACTAATACAGCAACTGAAAGAGTTTTCCATAAGTTTTCAACAGGTTAAATGAAAGTTTAAAACAACATAACTACCTGTTAGCAAGTCCAGAGGAAATTTTTGCCAAATTGAATGGAGGTGAATTTTTTTCTAAACTGGACCTGTCAGATGCTTATCTACAAGTACTAGTGGACGAAGACTGCTCAAAATTATTAACAATTAACACTCATAGAGGGTTATACAAATTCAACTGACTTCCTTTCTGTATAAAGGTAGCACCAAGCATATTCCAACAATGCTTGCTGGTTTGGATTGTGCTCAAGCATATTTTGGATGATGTAAAGTAAGACCCGAAAGCAACATGCAGAAGATGTAAAGAAAGTCTTTGAGAGAATCAAAGAAAATGGTTTTAAGATTAGTGAAGGAAAATGTGAATTGTTTATGTCCAGACTTAAATATCTAGGGTAAATTATTGATGAAAACGGTAGACGATTGGATCATTCAAGGGTGAGCACGACAAAAGACATGCCTGCTCAAACAAATGTAACAAAGTTACAAGCATTTTTAGGGTTTGCTAACTACTATCATATATATATATATATATATATATATATATATATATATATATATATACACACCTCATATGAACGAATTAAGAGCATCCTTGAATAACCTGCTAAAGAAAGATGTGAAATAGAATTGGACAGAAATTAAATACCAATGTGCTTTCAAAGAGATCAAGAAAGTCTTAACATCGGATTTGTCACTTGCCCATTTTGACCCTAAATTAAATATTGTGGTTGCATCAAATGCAAGTGATTCGGGTATTGGAGCAGTGATACTTTACAAATATGAGGATGGAACAACTAAACCAATAGCTCATGCTTCAAGATCATTGATTGCAGCTGAAAAACCTACAGCCAGATAGAAAAGGAAGCATTGGCCATCATATTTGCCATGAAAAAGTTTCACAAATTCATACATTGTAGAGAATTCATACTACAGACAGACCATCATCTATTATTGTCCATATATGAGTCAAAAAAAAAAAAAAAAGGGTGTTCCCACACATACAGCAAATAGACTGTAGCGCTGGGGAACTATCCTATTGAATTATAAATATAAAATGGAATTTCTACCATCCAAAAAATTAAGTCATACAGACGGATTATTGAGACTAATACCAAGATTCTGCGAACCACTTGAAGACACAGTAAATGTGTCGATAAGAGTCAAAAATAAAATTAATAACATATTATACAATACTGTAAGAGAACTGCCCATAACATTGGAGAAAATAAAAATTAAGGTGGAAAAAGTTGACTTTATAATGAAAATGAAGGAGAAATTAAGATCTAAAGGAAAAAATATTATTGGAAATAATGCATTTTCATTATTTTATGATGTACTTATGTATGCAGAAAGAGAGAGAGTGGTGATACCAGCATTGCTGCAAAGACTTATGTTAAAAGATTTTCACAGAGGACATCCAGGAATTTCTAGAATGAAATCCTTAATGAGGTGTTATACTTACTGGCCAAAAATGGATAAAGATATTTAGTGAAATCATGCAGTGAAGTCACTGCCTATAAAAATTCAACCTTGGCCAAAAACTGATATGCCATGGTCCAGAATACATATAGGCTTCACAGGACCATTAAATGGAGCATACTATCTAGTGGTAGTCATTAGTTACACTAAATGGCCAGAAATATTAAAATGTAGAAGACTGACTACCACAGTAATGATAAATTTCCTACACAAGATTTTTGCAAGGTTTGGTGTTTCTGACTATTGTTTCAGATAATGGGACTCAATTCACGTCTAGTGAATTTAAGATTTTTGCAAATCATTAGCAATAGAACATATTCCAACTCCCCTTTATCATCCAAAATCAAAGAGACAAGTGGAATGGTTTGTCAATACATTTAAAAGGGCACTGAAAAAGTTGGAGGGAGAAGAGTCAGATGAAGTAATGATTCAGCAATTTCTGAGTGTTTACAGAATAACACCAAACCTGAACACCATGTCTAGAATGTCACCTGCAGAGTTGATATTCACCAGGAAGATTAAGTCCATTTTCAATAAGCTATTGCCAGAACATAAAGTGAAAACATCAAGAAATAATAATACAAGTAGATGCTTCAAACTTGAAGATAAGGTATTTTTTTAAGATGTATCAGCGCAAAAAGGAATTCTAGGAAAATGACATACATGGTACAGGTACAAAGGTGAAAACACAAGTGACACATTAATCAGTTAAAATGTAGATCACTGATTTAAAAAGTCCCTGAAAAGAGATACCAATGGAAATTCTGTATGACACGTATAACGTACCCACACCATAAGAAATTGTTAAACCAATGGTTTATGGCAAAAGAAAAAGAATGCCAACAGAATTTTTAACTATTGAACTGAAGCTGAAGAAGTATAGGCTACAGGGGAAGTCATCTCAAAGGGTGGGGGTTCTTATATAGGGATAAAGTGTCGGTGCTGACACTAGAGTTTAAACACAGATCACCAGAGAGCAAACACAGGCAATCCCATTTTGAATAAGTAGATCATCTGATGGTAAAGGAAATGAATATATGGGAATTAGCGTGGCATCTAAGTGATCACTATTCAGTGGTTACTTTTTGAGCAAGCATTATCAAGTAAGTACTATTAGTCTGAGTGCTTTTCAAAGGCATCTGACACCAGTATTGTTCAACAGTGTTACTATAGTTGTATCTGCGATTACAAAATCTCTACTACACTGAGCATTCGTTGACATTACAAAAGTGGCAACAAGTGTTTGTCAACATCACAAAATAATATATGGTCACCACTAAAACTGAGGGTTACAAAAGCTTCTCTGGAAAGGAAGTTGTTCGAAAAAATAATATTTAGGAATTTTCACAGATGAAGGCAAAAGTTAAGGGAACTGATTTATTTTACCTGTCAAAAAGTAGAAGATTGTAAACAATTCAAGAAATAGAATTTTATACCTTGCTTGAAGAAATTGAGATAAGAAATGGACCTATGAGGTTCATAAGAGCAATTAAGTGAAAGAGATATGTGGAGATTGCTGTCGAAGGAAACAGCTGCTAAATTTCTGATTATATAAACAAGACTTTAGGCTGGGAAAATTTGCTGATGAAAATTAAAATGATAATCACAATTAATGACTAGAAACTAAGCCAAGCCACATGGTTCAAAATGACAACTGAGGTGAAAGGCTTAGATGAGATACCAAGAGACAGAGGAATTGCCTACACCCGTTGGATAGTAATGGTGGGAAGCATAAAGGAATATGAGTGGGCCAGTAACTTAGGAAGAAGGGCTCTACCAAATTTGGAGAGATAATTAATTTTCCAAAGAACCTTTGTTGGAAGACTGGGGAAACCCCAAGTCCCCAAACACCATCAGCCCCATGCAGGTCTTAAGAGTCAATATAAGCAGAGCGCTGAAGCAACCAAACCAGTTACAGTTGAAGTTGCAGCTGTTCCAAAGAGAACAGATGACAAGAGACAACCATGCTGCCAAAGCCCACTTTGACCTGCTGTCAAAGAGAACTCCCAACAAGTCTTGTGCTAGAATTAGCTTTGATAGGCAACGTGTCACTATAGAAATCAAAGTGGGAAGGAATAATTTTTCTGTGTGGAAAACTACATAAACCACATACAAAATTGACCCGAAGGACTCCTGTTTTCTTTTATTTTGTCTGCAAAGAACAGTTTTATTTTTCCTTTATAACACACCTTCACTGTGGTTCAAACCAATGCTATGATTGTTGACAACAATTCAGTCCATACTGGCTCCATGATCAAAAAGCATAATGTGGGCAGAGTAGGGTGCAGACTGAGGTGGCCAATGTTCAACAACAAGTAGCAGTATCAACCAGCATGGGAATTGATTGAATTGGTAAGAAGTGTTATACTGTCATGACTGACTGTCAAGTGTTGTGTCTTGCTAGACCCCACATCACAATTAGTAAAAAGAATATTTAGACTTGTTTGTGGTTTGTGCGATACAGTACCTAATTATTCAACAGTCGTTTGAACTTTAGTAATTATCCTATGCAGTAAGGCCAAAGGCAATCGACTGAAACAAATGCATCCTCATTTTAAATTACTATAGCCACCATAAAAATGTAGATAAAATTTGTAAATACTTACCAGGGGACGTAGATGTTGTTGAGTTATATTACAATATTCTTGGAAATTGATCCAAGGCCCAAATATCACAGTTCCTACATTAAAGACATAACCCAGATATTGCCAAATATCTGGCAGATAATCTATTGCACAGTTACTTATATCAAAAGCTAGAGAGATTATTTTCATTGACATAATCATTTGTGAACCTGCAAATAAAGATAGAAACAAAAGTGAAAATTATGAAATATAAAGTGAATGGCAAAATACACATCAAGTGTGATTATTGTATAAGGTTACTTTATTTGGTTAATAAAATATATTTGTAAACAATCTTTCTCAAAAAGTTTTGACATTATCTAGTTTAATATTGTAAAATAATTCAATCTCTAAAAGTAACATTTTTTTTAATAATACAAGGTAGAGAAATAGCTAAAAAATAAACAGTATTAAAAAGCAAAACCCTGATGTCAATTAGGCTTATTTAACATTTACTTTATTCATATTGTTAGCTAAACATTAAATGTAAATTAATCAATTCATAATTAAAGGAAACAACTTACCTCTAATTTTATGCCATGAGGCAGTATCAACAATGAATAATTCCCTGAGTAAGAAAATAAATTTAATAAAACATGAATACAATCAATACTATGTTTATTCAATGGTCAAGTAAAAAAAGCAGACATTTTAATTAGAGTAACCAAAAATATTTGGTATTTGTCATTAGAATCTAATGACATCTCAGTTATTCAAAAAGGCCAGTTTTTCATGGAAGAAAAACATTTTTGGTGTATTATCTTTTATTTTTTAAAAAGATAAAAATGCAACTGAAATGTAAAAAGCTTTACAGTGTATAGATAAGGCACTATAAAAGGTCAACAGTGGTTTGCAAATTTTAGTGCTAAATAATGCTCCATGATCAGGTAGTAGAGTAATAGAGATTGATAGCAATCAACTAAAAGGTATTGAGAAAAAAAAAGTTATACATAAGCTTGCCAATATATTCAAAATATACCAATCAAGAATTGAGAGATTGTTTAAATCAGCTTGGTTATGTTGGTTAGTTTCAAGTAGGACTTTCTCAAAAGTTAACCAGATTTTATAAACAAATAATGAAAACTGAATATTTTACAACATGGAATGAAAGACAAATATAGGGCAAATAAAATGAATTGCCACACGTTATACCAAAAACTAAGTTTCATCATAAGAAAAATGATGAAAAGAAATACAAATGATAGCAGATCTTCAACAACAGCAGTTGTAACCAAAAAGAAGCTTCAATGAGTGCAGTCAAGCATGACAAGCAGCAGCACTCATCAGCAAACAGATTAGGTTTGAGGCTCCAAGTTCTCTATAGGACAATAGCCTAATAGATTAAAGTGTTGGTTCATAAATTTTGTGACATAGTAGTTGTGAGTTCAATCACTGGACTGAACAGAGTATGCTTGGACTAAGTGGAAGCAGGGCAAGTAAGGACCGAGTAGCACTAAAATAAGAACTAGACAAGATATCCCAAGATATGGACAATGGAATGAGAACAATCTACCCTCATAGATTAAATAAGATACACCTGAATTCCATCAGGTGTATCTCAATCCTGGTAACCTACAAGGAATTTCAAACTGAACATTTGAAATTCCTTGTAGGTTACCAGGACTGAGATACACATGATGGAAGTCAGAAGGCACAACAGTCAAAATATTGTGATAACAACAAAAATGAGGACAATAGTCCACATTTAAATATAATAACTCCTCATCCCAGAAATTCAAATAGAAAAACAACTGTTTTTTATTTTTATGAATAAACCAAAACAAACTTTTTTGGTTATATAAATATTTAAATTTTTATCTTTATAAATCTTGATCTGTAGGCGAGTTTACATTCCCTCGCCTGAAAAATAAAACTTGTCTAAAAATTTTTTCATCTTCAAATGAAGTTTTCAATGATTACTTATTTTCTTTTTGATAATCAATATGTGAGATATTGATACATCAGATGAAGCTTTAATAAACTTGAATCTTGTCCCTTTGTCTTGCCTTTTAATTAGCTCAATAAATCTTGCTACATTGGGATAATGAATTATACAATCTTAGTTTATGCTATGATACCATCCTTCAACCTGGTTTGTTGTTTGCAGAATATTTAAAAGCACTTCCAAATAGTTATATTTAAATAGATTGTTGCTTAAAGCAAAAAATATGCATTGAAAAATATTGTTTTAAAATTAATAATGTAAAATACAAGGTGAAACAATTGACTGTATGCCCTTACAAAACAAAGATCTTTTGTAACATTTTATAAATATTTCCTAGTACATGAATTAAGAATTTTAGCCCACTGACGAGACTTAAAGTTCTCAAAAATGATTTGATTGCTAAATTTTATGTTTACAACAATAAAATTTGAAAGATTTAACTACTTTCAGATCTTGAGTTAAATTAAAATATGTTGACCAAGCTCCTCTTTTTACAGTTAATATCAAAAAGTAGATAAGATAAAATTTCAAACTTAATTATTTCCCTAGGTATGAACTGTAACTTCATAAGATTAAAATGTAAGTTAAAATGTTCATGATTAGTAAAAATATTTAATAATTTAAATCCAAATTTTAATCCACAAATTTATGTTGAAAGCCATAGAGCATAATAGACATGTTGTTAGAAAAACAACAAAGATGAGGACAATAATTGATATTTAAATAATGTGGATAATGAAGGAGATATTGTTCTTCTGTGCTGAGGGAAGGGATGGTTCAAGCCAGAGAGATTTTCAAAATTTCAAGTCAGCAAGGGTTACAGAGGAATGCTTATGTCATCCAACTCTCAAATGAGATATTTGAGAATGGCAGAAAATAAATTTTATATTATGCGGCTCTTACTTTAATCAAGTTTGGCTACGCATGTTCTATAGTATCAGAAAAAAAAAAAGTATTTAATCAAATGACAATTTGCTAAAAACAGCTATTTTGGGATGCTATTGGCAAAAAATCTAAATCTGTTGTAAGTTGTAGATCAAAGATTGATATTCCTGCAAGGAAACATGGATGTCTGCTTTATTAAGACATTTCTAAAACTGCTGTTGCAGTTTTAAGAATTTTGAGGAAGAAAATAAAAATTGGTTGTATAAAGCAGTAACACACTTATTAGAAAGTAATCAAACTTGAAAGCCCATTAGTTCTATAGTTTGGCTATATAAAGGTAATGCAAGTAAGACATGGTGCTTGATAATACAAAAGTTTAAATCGTGAAAAAAAAAATAAAAGAAACTACAATAAAAAATAGAAAACAAAATGTAAATGCAATCTAAAAATACTTACAATGATATAATGACCACAACAATAAGAAGAGATATACATGTCCCACAATGTGCTCGACACTTGAACATGGTTATAGTAATCACAATATAACCAAGAATGGCACTAATGATGAGGTAAAGCATAGTGAGTTGAAAGAAGTTATAAAGGATGTAAAGACCAAATAAAGCACTTGATATATGCACCATTAACTTGGGAACAGCAGTTTCATCACGACCTGGTGAGAAAAAGAAAAAATATTTGGAAATATTCAATAAACAACATTTAAAAATATTCAATGATTTGAAAACCATTATTTTTCTATGTATTAACACTTTTGTCTATGATGAGAGTATCTGTGTGATCCTCAAAAAGTATTAAACAAAATGTGTGTGTGTGAGAGAGAGAGAGAGAGAGTTTTTTTTAAGGCTTATCAACCCATTGCAGATTATTTAAAGAAAGAATATACTTTTAGATTGTAAGAATTTTGGGGGATAAAATAATGATTTGCTGATACAATTTTTACTGATTAACCCATAGTTGGTGGGGAAGATGAGCTGGATTCATACCTTTACCAAGAGTATTTGCACGTAAATGAATATAATTAACCCAACTGGAATTGGAACTTGGCTTTGTGACTTCTAACTGAATTGTTACACCACCCAATATTCTGCAGCAATCACTTAGCTATGTGTGTGTGTGTGAGAGAAAATGAATATACATTGTACTGCAGATATAGATTATTGAAACCTTCAAATATGCAGATTTTTAAAGTTACATATTTTACATTGAAATAACAGAAAATACTGTACTAAGCTTATTTTTTAAGAAAGAAAAGTTAAAAAGTGTATTTTTGTTAGAATTTAATGTGATTTTTATTTAACCTGAATGATGAATAATGGCAGTTTGTTTAATGTTACATGTGCTACATCAGAAATAATCAACATGAAACAAGCTGGATTGGAAAGCAGACTTAGGGCTTAATTGAGTAAAACCAAGGCAATATCCTTTCCACCAACCCGTCAGATCACTTAATATCTTTTGCTATGTATGACAAAAGCATTGTTACATATTAGGCTCTTATCAACATGTTGCTAAAAGCCCAAAGTGAGGTTCTTAAACTTAGATAAATTTAAAGTTAGCTTAATCTATGAGAAATGACACCTGCTTGAAAGTATCAACTCCAACTTTTCAAAAGAAAAAGTTAGATAAAAACATTCCCCAGTAAATAAATGGGGATATATAATCAACATTTCTTAAAGAAAAAAATAAGTAAAACAGACAAATAGTGAAATTTCCAAGTACAGACCCAACAAATTGTGAAGGATCAAAGTTTACTGCTTTTATTTCACAGTAGATAAAAACAAGACATTCAATCAAGAAGCAGTTAGATAAACTAGCTTGGCTTTTACAGAGTCCTTGAGAAACACCCTACTACAAAATAATTTTAATAGGTGTAGTTTAAATGTGTCTATTACTTGGACGTCGTTTGTACAATTCAAGATACCGCTAATTCAATCTGCCGTTCCTGCCTTTCGCACACTTCAAAAAAATATACCTGTTCTCCCCTTCTCACTGCTTCAGCCCCCTCTTTTATCAGGCCAACACGAAAAAGAACAGGTTGAGATGTTTTTTTTTTCTTTCTTTTCATTCCATTTAGAAATTCCTGGGCAAAGTCGAATCGTTCAGCAGTAATTGGATGTGGCATCTCCTTATTGTTTTGCTAACTAGAACCAATGGACAGTGTGTGGAGTAGGGCGCTGGTCTTGGCCAAGAACTAAGAGACTGCACCAGAAAGCAGATAAGAATTTTATGATGACATCAAAAATAACAGTGAATGGTGGCAGCATGAGAAACTGATATGAAGATATGGGAGGAAAATGAATATGCCCACTGAAAGGTACTGGTGTGAGGTGCGAGCAAGAGAAAGGGTAGAACAAGATGGTGGATCAACACGTTGCTCCTGCCACTACTGAAAGGAGAGCTCCCCATATTTGGACATATAAGGGCCACCTGGCAGCACCACTCATGGAGAGATTTGATTCGAAGGTATCCCAAAACAAGTCAACCCCAATCTGGTTTTCGGAGATTGAACTCCATAAATAGCCATGCAGAGATCCTAGAGAGAGATTTTTGTTTTCAAGAGATCGTCGTTCCATCTACCGGCCACTATGTGACGTCTACCCTTGACTCTGATCTTATCCCAACCTACCACCCAGACCAACATAGTGCCCTGGCAAAAAGAAGATTGCAAAGTAGGAATAACTGAATCTACATACAACAGTAGACAGATGCAAATGCTGTTAGTATCTGTGAAAGTCCCACTAGACAGATGAATACGGGTTGGGTACCATGCTGAATCATACAGAGTTGGTTCTAAGCTGTTTGAAACTATAGCAATTCATTTATGTGTGTATAAAGTTTATCTCGTGTATATTTGCCTTTAATTTTCACTTGGATGACTGCAGCAAACTGATATTATGACTAGTAGCGGTGATATCGAAGTTGATCAACATAGAATATATAGCATAGTAATTGAGACTATGGCTACATTATATTTGGTGCCAGTGACCATCAGATTCACTCTCTGGTGACCATGACCAGCCTCATGGTGGATGATTGTTGAAGAAGGAAAGAGAGAGAGTGAACCACAAGCTTTGGTCCTATTAGACCATATGGTTCTAAAAAAAAATAAAAAAATAAAAAATAAACAACATGCAATCAGGACGACCACAGGATAAGTGACAGGTAGGACATTCTTCAGCATTCCCTGAAATTTTCTTATTTTTCTGTTGCAATTTGTCAGAATTTTTTTTTTCTTTTGCTTCTTGCTGAGCTCTTCTGAATTGCTACCATTCTTTTCTGTAGGTATTTGGATTGCTAGATTAACTCTCTTTTCCCAGGTTGAGAAGATAGAAGTAGAGGGAAAATGAGTGAACATGCGTCAGAGGAATCCAGGAGAATAGAGATTGAGGAGGAGGCAGTCAGACATTGAGTGACGACTTGCCTCCATGAGCTTCTGAGGGGAACCAAGGTCTCATCTTTTGGGGGAGACTTGAGGAAGTTGAAGAACTGGCTGGCATCCATTGGAAAGGGACAGCTTATATATATTGCCTTGGCAAAGGACAGCCAAAGAGTTTTTGAGAAAGCAAGGGGAAAGGGGGCCCAGGCACAGAGTAAGGTAGACAGGGAGTGGGGTAAGACCTTCCCCGCCCAATGTAGGTGAAAAAGGTGAAGTAGGAGGAGGTCAAACCGGAGGAAAGTGTGGGTTAGCCTGTGACTTCAACGAATTACAATTCACATAAGGCAAAGTGGTGCGGAATAAGAAAAAAAAAAAGCCACAAGGATGGTTTGGTGACTGGTATACCAGAGGAGGTATCGGTATACTTTCTGTTGTATAGACTCTTGGAGACACAGCAGCAATGGTCAGTGATAGAGAGGCATATGCTACCATGTACACAATGCAGAAGTTATTACTTGAGTGGGGCAGTAATTACCATTAAAACCAACCACAAGGCTTGCCAGTATTTGTTGGAGAAATATGATCCAGCAGTGGATGTTAAAATTGAGCAGATACCATTGCAGAATAGAATATCTGTCCAGCAGAGACAGCACCTGTGAAGACCTGATGCTAAGAATACCAAAGCAACTAGGTGGAATCAGTGAAGGTGGACTTGTTTGCTCCACTATCTTGTAATAGGGTTTCCATCTTTGGTCCAATTTTCCCTCTATCAGGTGAATCTTATAGTACATGGGGTCCTCAACTCTTAGCTCTATCTCTTTTTTTTCTTTTGTTCACCATTTCATTTCTTTTTTTCTGGGTTCTCTGTATTCTCCTCCTTGATTGGGTAAACAGTTTATGTTGTTGCTCGATAATTAGTTAATGGTGGTCCACCCACCCCATACATTTCCTACAAGGTTTTAACAAATTGTCCACTGGTAGGACTACATCTCGTCTGAACATCATGTAATATGACAAGAACTTAGAGGTTTCATTTATTGTAAACCTCACTGCTACCAAGGCTTGCATCAGTTACAGGCTCCAATTCTCTGTATTCTTCCTTGCCAATTTAGCCAGTACTCCTCCCCAAGGCCCTATGGAACCTCTCTACTTTTGTGTTACCCTGGAGATGTGGTTATGTGCACAGGGTCTCCATATCTAGGGAATAGCTCACTCATCAAGTCCGACACTGTTTGAGCTTTCTTGTCTGGCACAGGGTATGCCTCAAGCCATTTCATCAACCAATCTACAAAGCTCACTATATACATGTTTCCCTGGAAGGGGTTTCTCCATAGGGCCCCAACACATCCATGCTGACTTTTTCAAAGGGAAAGTTCAAGGTATCCATCTCCTCCAGTGGGGCCATCTCCTGTTTTCTATTCTGGGTCTGGACTACCTCCCCCTATACTCCTGACTAGTAATAAGTTCTCCCCAGTAGGCCACATGTCTTATCAATCACAATACGCTCTATCCTTTTGTGATATTGTTCCAATATTTTAGCTCTCAGACCCTTAGGAATGTAAAGTTTGAGTTTTATTTTTTCATCCTTCCCTGATAGGTAATACAGTCATTCTTCATGTATCACATACTTAGAGGTTTCCACTGCTTCCACCTGTGGAGTGACCGGGCCCCAACGTAAAGAAAAACAGCAGAGGAACGTAACCCTTATGGAGACAGATAAGAACTCTGTGGGGTATGAAAGAGAAGGAAGTTATCAGCACATAGAAATCCTTGACAATGCATTGGATAGGATGGCCTGCACATGGCTGTTGCTGAGGAGGGGAGAGGGGTTGTCAGGATGTCTCTGCACCAACCCATTGGCATCGCAGAACTGCAAAAAAGGAGAACAACACAAGTGAGGAAGTTCCGGGTTCTGATATGAAAACTCCTGAGAAGAAAGAAGAGAGGGAATGAGAAGAAGAGGATGAGATATCTCTTTCCTAGCTTCAAAAACAGTTAAGGGAAGGAATGGGGCTGGCAGTTGAATCAGAGTCACCTCTTAAACAGAGACACTAAGAGGAGAATGGGTCTCTGAAGCATGATGGAGGAGTGTAGTAGAGGATGATGTGGTGAACGAACTCAATGTTGGTGCACAATGGGGTTGGGTTTGTTAGGAGCCCATCCAGTAATAAACAGAAGGGACTGATTGAGAGAGGACGGGGGTGCGGATAGCATATTACTAGGAGCAGAGTTGTTTGTCAGTGCTGTCGTTAGTTGGCACAAGGACCCCATGTATGTCTAATGGTAGTGTTGATGAGGCCCAATCGGTTAATTGAAGAGTGATTAAAGGAGGGAAGTTGAAAAAAGCAATAATAAATGGGTAGACAGAAATAATAAGACAAGGAAATCATGTTATCCTTGCAGGGATTGGTTAGTGTGGACAGACTGGTACTGCTACTGATGATGATGATGATGATAGATACCTCGAGAGACAGCCAAAATACAATTTTCAAGAAGTGATTATAACCAGATTGAAATGGCTAGTCCCTTTTGTAATAGATTTAAATCCCTATGAGTTACTCTTGGACAAAATGGAGTATGAACTAGCTAGGCTGGGTGTGGCAAGTAACAGGGTAACCCAGAAATATATCAGAGAAGAGAAATACATTAGGTTGTTGGACCCCATAGAGCTGGAAACAGCAGTATTGGAGGCTTGGTAGAGGGATATGAAGGATTACCTAATGCGGGTGGAACTGTTACAGGTCAGGAAAAAGAGGGCGGTGCTCCCTATTGTTGGAAAAGCTTAGAGCATCTGGTTTGGAATGGTGACGATTGGGTCTATAAGGAAGAAACTGGGGGAGGTAGAAGAGAATCAGAGGGTCTTAGCTCAGGCAGCGGGAGATAGCGTATCAGTACTGAATGTGACAAGATTAGAACAAACAAAGAATAGGGCAACTATCAATCGGTTAATAAGCAGTTTACAATAGTTGAGGCAGGAAATATATACCTTATTTGACGGCATATAAGATGCACAGAGGTATACGATGCACCTCAATTTCAGCAGGGCAGATCAAGAAAAAATTAGTAATTAGTAAAATTATTAGTAAATGGTACAGCCTATTCTATATCTATGAGGTATTATTTTGATTACAATTAAATGAAAAATAATAGGAAAAAAAAAGAACATGAGCTTATAAAAACTTTATTATATCTGAAGGTAAGAAAAAAAAATAAAAATAAAACAATTACAATTGAGCAAAACAGTACAGTTACCATTAAAATTCAGTCAAAAATTTTCCTTCACATCATCTGCACAACCTGCATTTTGTAAACATCTTAGTGGAATAATTTGTATATGAAAATTCTGATTGTATTTATACTAATGTAACCAGAAGTTATCACAAAAAAAAATATTAATGAAACAAATATATTTTACAAATATATAATTTGAATTGATTGTATATAATTTTAGTGAACCAAAGTACTAATATTAAACATGATGAAATTAATATAATCAATATTATAAATGATAACACTTTTAATCTGCATAATAGCCTTTTTAAGTAATGACAGTAGGTATATGAAAGTTACTCTAAAGTCTAAGCTAATAGGAGTTGCCAGGTAGCTAATTTCGGCTGACTATCGTGAATTTTAAACCTACATATGGCATATAAGACACAAGGTAATTTTAAAAGATATTTTTAGTAAGAAAAAAAAGAAGTGTACCTTATATGCTTTGTACAACAGTACTTCCAGCTGAAAAGCATTGTTAACAAAGTATGACAAAGTAGCCACACCCTAACAATTTTGATAGAGCATATATATGCTTGATATGTTATCATTGGGAGACTCGTCTCCAGGAATAGTGACCTGGGTTGCTTAAAGGAGTTGTTATTAAAAATACAGACAGATTGTCAGTGGATCCCGACGAAGAATTATGGAAATATTACAATGCCTTGAGTTGTGTCACATTGTAAGAGAATAAAAAAAACTACTGGCTCTGATGACCATCCCGCTGCTAGACTGGGAGAGTATACTTGAGATATATCAAAGAGTTAATTTGCCTATCCCATACTGGCCAAGAGACTAGCTCACTCAAGCTTATGTAACCCTTGACTTTGACCTTATCCCAACCTACAGACTAATGAAATGTCCTGGCAAAAAGAAGATTGCAAAGTGGGAGTAACTGTGAAACCACATACAATAGCAGACAGCTGTTGGTACCTATGATTAAGTTACACCGAAAGTGCCACTAGACAGATGAATAGGGTGCCATGCTGCATGCTATAGTTTCAAATAGCTTAGAACTAACTCTGTACAATTCATCTATGTGTGTATAAAGTTTATCTCATGCCTTTAATTTTTACTTGGATGACTGCAACGAGCTGATATTACGACTAGCAGTAATGATCTCAAAGTTGATAGACGCAGAATATTTAGCATAGCAACTAACACCTATGTTATAATTGAACTTACCTGAAGATGAGAGGCTGGATACAAGCTTGCATACAAAACTGGCTAGCATCAAAGGCACAGTAGTGTTGACAGTCTGCTGGATCACAGGGAAGATACAACTCTCACAGAGAAACCAGAACGACATTTTTGGATAATACACATCCTCATAGACATCAAAGTCATCACGTTCAAAGTAACTCAATCCTTCTTCATCAGTTTCCAAATCTCCATAATACGACTCCATATCCATTGCTATAAAAATAAATTAAAACATGAAAAATTTTAGCAGGAACATTTCTTAATTATTAATTTCTTTCAAATACCTAGCTCCAATTTTTATCCAGCCCTACAAAGATAATTTCAAGAAAGTGAATGTAATTAAGAAAATTCAATAAAGCTTATAGGATTCATCATCATATGAGTAGTTTCAGTTAAATGCAATTCTAGCAGCTTTTGAGAGAGGAAAAATCCAACAGTAGTAGAAAGGATCAGTTGAACTGATTCTTCTTCTATGTACCATTTCCCTTCAGGACACAGGCAATCATTGTTCTCCACAACTTCTTGTCTTTTTTTTCTTAATAACGTTTGTCTTTTTGCTATCCCTCTTAATCTGCCAAGCATTTATACAAGCTCATTAGATAAGGTTATTTGTTGCTTTCCTCTGTCCCACTTGCTTTCAATATGTCTTGTGAGTATCTGATTCTCTAAGCTCTCTTAATGATAAGTGGGGGAAAAAATGACTGAATATTCAGTGATATTTTCAGAGTTGCATAAATCCTGTTACATGTTTCCTTGTTAAGATTCCCTTGATCTGTCTAGCATAGATTTATACCCAACATAAATGCCTATCAGAGGTTATCAGTCAAAAATTTTTGGTCTAAAGTTTCAGAAATTTGCAAACCTTCAAATTGGAGGTATTCTCTGAAAAAAAAAAAAAAAAAAAAAAAAGGTGCATGACATGAATTTACCTGCACAGCCCAACATAAGGCCAGGTAGACTTTTTCCTTTCAGGGTTTTTATCTTTCAACTCAATATTATTTTTCTATTGCAATAAACTGTCAATGAACTGGATCATTTTTGAGTAAATTTTTATCAAAATTTTTAGAAAATGACTGAATATTCAGTAATTTTCTTTACAATTTTTCATTTTTTATTTCTGTAATATTGATTAACGAAGGTTATGTTAAAGTCATGCTTTTTGTTAGGTATAAATGTATTTCACCTTTCACCTTACGATGATTTTTGTGCAATAGGGTGTCTCTGCACTTGAGATACTGGATTTTTATCACTTGACCCATCTTTTAGAGGCTTACCTTCATGATTAAAAGCCTTAAGTCGGGAACAAAATTCCCTACTGACTTTCTTTTTAGGGTGCCATGCAACGTGAGTTTAGGTTACAATTGTGGCCCTTAATTTCTCTGATATTGGGTTAATAATATTGTATGCTCAGTCTGTCATTAATATGTGAGAAAATGACAGAATATTCAGTCATTTTTTTAAACTCTTTGTCCATTTCTTTGAAGTTAAAGAATTTATTTAGCATAACATTTTATTGGGAACTTTTTCAATTGGAATCAGAAAGACCATTGTGCATTAATAAAAGAAACTTGAACAAAGCATTTTACACATAAACAGTTTTAGTAGACCTGGTTGGTTTGAATTTGACTGAATTTTCAATTTTTATTAGACTTAAATTACATACATAATAGACTGCAGAATAAAAGATTCCAGGATTGTTCACAGGGAGGACAGTATAGTCTCTGTGGCCCCCGATTTCTTTGATGTTGCTGGTGGAAAGGACAGGTACTTTGGGCTGATGAAGAAGATGATATGATGATACAATGACATGTATGTATTGGCAGGAGGATGGGACCACCTCTATTACAGAAGTTGACAAACTTCTACTGGAAACATCAATGCCAGAGAAGGGTGTTTCAAATGAGCCACCTTGTTGCAGCAAGAAAAAATTCAACCTTCGTATCAAGCTAGCATGCTTCTGCTGGATCTGTCTGATGATGAGGATGCCACTTGTAATAAAGATATGCATTAAATCTGAAATTTGACTTCCTGATATCAGAACATGGTCATCCCCGAATGGCCTAATATCAAGAAATGGAAAGATGTTCTTTTCAAATATAAATCATCATGTGAAATGTCAAGACCCTAAATGGAAAGATGTTACTTTGAAAGCATGGGCTCTTTTCAATCATGCTTGTTAAGACAATGCATAAAATTTCCCATTTGCACTTTAATTTATTTACAGCAAATTTACAGGAGCAAAGAAAGATACTATTTTTGCTAAAAAGACAGAAAATCAGTAAGAAAAAAGCAAGACTGTGATTTTATTTCTGTCAAAATTAATTAATGTCCATGATAAGTGGAGTGATGTGATAAAAATAAACAGAATTCAGAAAGAAAAACAAAGCTGGGACAATGCATGCGGCCATGGAGAAAAATTTGGCTTGGGACCACCCTGGAGAATAGCTATTGATTATCTTTCAGAGATATCATTTAATTTTAATTCCTGATTCCAGCGAGGGAAGCCATCTGGTATATGCATGAATCTTGACATGAAAAAAGGGAAAAAGGGGATCATTATTATTGCTTATTCAAACTGTTGACGTCAGACAACCCTAAAAATGAGCATCTGGTGATAAGAGAATTTTAAGACATGAGAAAAATAAAAATTTAATTATCAGGTCAACCACCCAGTTAAATGTTGACCTGAAGAACCCAAATGTCAGTTTTTTTGACAATGATTAATGAGTCAGTAGAGGTCCGAGCTAAGTGGATTTAGAATGATAAAAGAATTATTTGGCAATCTGGGATTTGTAAATGTTTTGGCCGAAGGAAAAGGAAAAAAGGATTTTGTAAACAAAATTTTCAATAAATTTAAGAGGGCCAGTTTAGCCACACCCACACTGTGGAGAGATCATTGGCCAACTGGTAGCATGGGTGATAGGCGGAGGTGAATGTAAGAAAGATGGGGAAGTTGTTAACGCCCACTGAAGGGATTGGTATGAGATACCAATGTGAGAGAGGAAGAGTCTAGGAGGATAACTCTCCTCTGACCTTCCCTCACAGACGAGGGAGAAACCCTGAAATGGAAAGTGATTAATCTTCCAAAAAATGGGAAGTAATTAATTTTCCTGGCCTAAGAACAAAGAAAATTCTTGTTGGGAATTGAGAATTGTCAAAGAACCCAAACCACGCCAGACCCCACCCCAGAGTTGGTTGGTGTCCATATAAACAAACATCTTGAGGCAGATTTTTCAGGAGAGTTTAGAGTTTGGAGACAGACAGTTTGGATTTGGAGAGTCAGAGTGTTGCCTTGCAGAAGCTGACCAAAAGATTTCCACATCCTTTTGACTTAGTCTTCCTACCAAAAGCAAGTTTTTATTGATGAATGACTTAAGATACCATAACTCACTTATGAAACGCAAAAAGTGTCACGAATCCATAGAAACAGACTGGGAGAAAAACACACTCCTGTATTCAACAGATAGATAAAGATAATTGTTATTTCTCAACATATTTGAACCTCATGAGTGTGCTTTATTATTTTCTTTTACTTACGCTTATGTGGTATCACCTTTACCCCGGATTCAGCTTGCACTACGGCCCGATGCCTGATTGATTTCGTCTACCTAAGATCAAAATCACAATGTGGGTAGGTTAGACTTGAGATCAAAGTAGTTACTTCAGTAACCAGACATTGGAGGCGAGCTGAGAAGTTGATATCGAACCGAAACAACCAGATCGAACGGAGACACAGGCTGGTGGCAGTGACAAGGAGTCAACCCCAAAACGCTGGTGGAAGAAACCTTACAGCTTTTGCACCGCAACTGGGAGTTGACCATGGGTCAACGGTGCAGTGTCATATATTGACGTCGCGACCAGTGGACGTCATATATTGGCGCTGGTGCTGCATGACCACCGGTGGGTGTCACACATAACCTCTCAACTTGTCAAAAGTGTAGTATACCAAAACCCTGTCAAATGCCTTGAGATGTGTCCAAAGCAACAGCCAGAGTTTCACTATTCATTTTTTTGATAGATACTTTTTCAGTAATAATTGTTTTTACATCAGTAGTTGACTTAAAGAAGCAAAGGCCAATATTAATTATCTGAAAGAATGTTTATGACCATAGTTTCATGTTGAAACATAGTTCAAATTCAATCAAATCTTTTTTAAGCAATGTTAAGTCTAGATGGGTGACTGCCCAGATGCTGTAAAATTAGATATGTAACTTGGAATGAGAACTTGGAGAGATGAGTTTGAACCCAGTTGAGTTTGTTACATTCCCTTATGTGTAGATCCCTTGAGAAAGGTATAATTCAACTTTTTTCTGTTTTTTTTATGGGTTAAATATTAAGATTGTATCAGAAAATATTATTCATCTCCCAAAATTCTTATAATCCAAGAATATTTCAGTTTTTAAATAACCTCAAACAGGTTGATAAATAAAAACAAATCACTCTTTTTTTACTTGAAAGGAGAAGACAAAACAGATGAAATGCTTAACCAAATCAGGGTTGATTAGAACATCTAGGAATTTGCTAAAAAAGAGGTAGAAGATTAATTTCAAGATAGAAGGAACAGATGGCTCACCTGTGTTCTTAAAGACTAAAACTACAGAAGAGGATTTCCAATTAGCAGGAAAGCAAAAAGCAACAAATTTATTGAAATGTTTAGAGAGAACAGGAACCAAAGTTAGATGTTATTCCATTGTTCTCATAATTAAAAGAAAAAACTTGTAATTCCAATGAATGATATATTTTTTTATGGAAATATTTTGGCTAGCAGTTTCAGTCTTGGTAACTTCTTAATTTGAGTAAAAACAGTACAAAGAAGAAATATTTCCAAAAAAATAAATCATTTGTTGGAATTTTAAAGTTTTTTTGGTTTTTAATTATATAACAGAAACCATTTCAGGAGCACATTAAGGACTTTTGTAGGGATAGAAAAAGAATCTATTACACATGAACATATATACATACAAAAAATACAAATCACATACAACACCAAGCATTCATTGGTTAATTAATCAGGAAGGATTATTATAGGCAATTTAAAAATCGCAGTAATGCAACAATTTTGTTATCATTCTATTTTTAATGGTCAATTTTGTGCACTTTTTTGGG